GGAAATAATTAACAAATTTGTTCATTATTCAAAGTTTTAGAAAAAGATCAAGGTTATTTCAATATTGAAAGCTTTGAAAAAAAAAATTGAGAAAAAGATCAAAGTTTTATTTTTTTCATGTTTTTGACTCCTTATTCAATTAGTTCCCCAATTTTGTCATTTTAAGATTGTTTAGTATTATCTTTGCATAGATTATGAAAGCAACAAATGTAATTATCAATTTTCAGCTAAATAATATTTCGCTTACGAATTCTAAGCATCATAGCTCATTATCTATCTCACTTTTATTTGGATTTCATGATTAGGTTTAGTTTAAACCTTATAATGTAAATAATTAATATTCATAAAGTTTCTCTTTGATGATTTTGTTAGTGTTTGGAAACATGTTTGAAAATAACATTATTAAACTTCGAAGGAAATGGATTGTGTCAATACATATGAAAAATTAGCTTTGAATCAATTAAATCATTGATGTGTCCAAGGTGTTTGACAAAATGAGAATGTGCATTCTATCACTTTTCTATAAAAAAAAAAAAGTCACATTATATCATTGTAGCAAATAACTAGATGCATATTTGTGTCTTTTTGAAAATTTGAACATGTCAATTCAAGTCATGTTTTATAGTAACACATATGAAAAAAAAAACTTTGAATCAATTAAATCATTGATGCGTGCAAGGTATTTGACAAAAAAAAAAACGAATTCTGTCACTTTTCTAAAAAAAATAAAAAATTTAAGTCACACTATATTTTTGGAATAATTATTTTGATGCATACGTATGCATTTTTGAAAATTTTTGAAAATTTGAACATACCAATTCCAATCATATTTTATGGTAATATATATGGAAAAGAAAATTTTAAATAAATTAAATCATTGATGTATGTAAAGTGTTTGACACAAGAAGAATGTGAATTTTGTCACTTCTCAAAAAAAGTCACATTATCTCAAGGTGTTTTACCAATTTAGGACGTAATTAATGCTAACTTAAAATGTTTAATTAATTTAAGGGGTATTAATCAAAACACTATAAAAAAAAGGTATAAAGCCTAATTTCCTCAATAATTTTTATCATAGTTTTAATCAACAATTCAAATTTCGCTCAACAGAGTTGCATTTGAGAAAATTAGAAGGCTTTCCACCCCTAGTTATATTATGAAGAATCACAAGTGGCAAGAGCAACGAGGGAGTTTGAGACTGAAAAAAGATTTGGGGCAAATTTTCTAAAAGATCCATAGTTATTGAGCAATAATATGAGAGAGTTGTTTTTACAGGAAAACACGAGTGAGGATTATCCCAAAATTTGCAGCATGATGAACTAACAAGAAAATAAACCATCTAACAGTTCGAATTTATCCTGGCATGTAATTGCATTCAAAAAGTGAACAGCATTAACAGTTACTAGAACAAGATTTCTTCATTGCAAGATGTCATACAAATGGATTGTCGACATAGAAAGGAAAAAAACTGTATTAAGGATTCATTATGTCTTGAATAACTAAAAAATAAAAACATTTTCAACCCCAAATTGGAATATTAGACAATGATTCCACCTTTAGAATTCGATGAAGAGAGGCATTACTTGCTGTCACCTCCAAAAAGGTATCCCAGGGAAGATCCACCACCAGGAGCGGCATGGATTTTCGTACATGGTCGATCCTGTCAAAGAAAGAATCCCGTTATATTCCACCTCCACCTCTTCTTGTTATGATTGTAACAATAAATAGGGAAAACAAGAAATCAGATTCAATTCCACTTCTGAATGAGTTCGAAATATCACAAATCAAACCATGGCAAATCAGTCTCGTGCTATTCCCCCCTTTTACTAACAGTTTAGATAGCCATGTCATTATCAATTTATCACCAAGCAACCCTTCAATGTCATGCATAATAAAGAGGTCGGAGAAGCAGGGAAAGACGTGCATTTTAAATCATCATGGTCTTCAAAAGTGAGCAGCAATCTGAATACAACAAATGTTTCATAACAATACTGGTAATTGGAAATTAACTGAAGATCTCATTAACAATGTATCATCCGTCGATACAAACATGCATATGCACCCACACAAACTTGTGCTCAGGCCTTTTTACCATTGTGATACTAGCCTCAGCGAAAATGAAAAGGATAACTAAAAATTATTAGGATGTGTTGTGTTTGATTGAAAAAATTTCCATGGAAAATATTTTCCAACCTTTGAAAATATGCCTAGTTTTTAAGGAAAATATTTTCAGAGGTAGGTTTTTGTTTTCCTCACATTTTCCATGCCAATCAAATACACCCTTAAAATAAAACTATGCCTGCAATAAACCATGAACTTTTATAGGAATTCAAATATAACAATTTAAAGACTAGCTTGTATCACCCTTAAGCACATATTTAATATGGAACATAAATGACTAGCAGTAATGCATAATATGACAAAGATCATAGTCATACTGTAAGGAAGTTGCCAGTGTTCTGGCCATCAGCTCGGAAATAGTTATTCTTTTGGCTTCCCTGAATCCCAGCAGGAATTTGTTTATCAACATCAGCAGGTGGTGCAACAACAGAAGGCTTCTCTGGAACTGCATTCATCACCGGAGCCTCGTTTTGCAGAGGAGTTTCCACATTGTTTGCAGTGGTTTTCGGGGCAGGAACTCGTGGAGCAGGAGCTTCACCTCCTCCAAAAAGGTAACCAAGAGAACTCTCCCCACCACCGCTGCTAACTCCACGACCCATTATGACTCAAATTCTTAGATTCAACTTTTGGAACTGCACCAAATTCTGTCAAAAAAGAAAAAACTTGCCATAAGAGTTCAATTCTGTCTGAAAATGAATATATATATATATATTCCAAAACTCTATTTTAGTTGACACCGAAACGAGAAAGAAACTCAAAAGTGTCCCCATTTTCTTAGATTCAACTTTTGTATGCACACCAAATTCTGATAAAAATTTACAATGTGAGAGTTAAGACGAAATATTACAAATACTCTATTTCAGTTGTCATCAATACGAGAAAGAAATTCAAAGTGTCTCTATTTACTTGGTTATGATGAAAACTGCTAAAAAATGAATATAATTTACTTGTAGTTTGATGCTGAATCTGAAACTTAAAAGGAATTTTTTTTCTATCTTTTTTAAAGTTTTCCACCACGTTCCTACAACAATTCACTAAGATTAAAAACAAAAATCACATCAGAAGTACTAACAAGAATTTACTATTTAACACCAAAGTGATCCACCAATTTACCACATTATTACTTGATTGTGGTTTCATATAACTGATATGATAATTGAAAGAATCGTTTTTTTCTTTTTGTGCTCTTTTACGCTACTTCTTCATACAGTAATTCATCTAACTTAACAGAGAATCAGTGCACAATTTACAAAAATTCACAATAAAATGAACTAATCAAATCACAAATTCAAACTAACAAAAATTAACTATTTAACTCTCAATTGAATCCACACATTTAAAAGATTACTGATAGCAATTAATAAAGAAACGGAAACCACAGAGTGAGTCAAACTTTTGTTTGCACAAAAAAATCAGAATCAAAATATAGATCTGTAAACAAAAACAATGAAACAAAAAGCCATGTAAAGTAAATAAGTTCAAAAAATGTAGAGAGAGCGAGAGGACTTACCAGTGTTCTTAGAGGTCAGATCTGGGCGAGAAGATATTTGAAACTATATATATTACAGTAAGTAGATATTCCGTTGGTCAAAATAATAAGGGCTCGTTTGATTTTATTTTTTCAAAAATTCATTTATTTCTTAATTTATTTTTAGTCATACATTTGTTTAATAAAATAATTTCACACTTAAATCGAAAATTTATTCTTACACACATTCTACCAAAAATCAATATTCAATAATACATTTTATTCCAAATTAAAATGAGAAGAATAGTAATTTTTTTGGAGCATGTATGATTAAAAAAAAAGAAATATTTTTAAATTTACGTGTAATATTATTTTATTGAAAAATATGTTGCTGATAAAAAGAGAGAAAAAAAATGAATTATAATTTAATGGGAAATAATGGGGATCAAACGGGAGCTAAATGTTGACTTTTTAAAATAAAGAGAATTTCATATTTAAAGAGTTTTTGGAAATGCTCTAAAACTATAAAGATTTTATTTTTATTATTTTTCCTTTTTAACTATTTTTGGTTTGGATTTGTATTAGTTTTAGGAAAAAATTGTAAGGTAAGTCCTTCACCAATTAAATTTGCACATATGGCTTCTTTACTTTTAGTTCTCGTCCTTTTACTTTCGTTGCACCAATAGTTTGGTGGAAGGAAACTTTTCATTTATAGGAAAAAGGAAATAGAATAAAGAAAAAGAAAATTGCATCCTAGGTTCTCTTCTACGAGTGAGTCTCTTTGATTTGAAAATTTCTTACATCTATTTGCGTCTTTCTTGGTTCGTCTCAATGACATTGTAACAATTCAAAATATTTTAAACAACTGGTTACAGCTAAATGTGCGTTGTAAGTACTTTTGAAATGTTTTATAAACGTGGTAAAAATAATATTTGAAAATCAGTGAATATAAAAAATAATTTAAAAAACTGTTTACGTGAAATGAACTTTTTATACAATTCAATTATTTATTTACGTGTATGATAATAATTAACATTTTTTTATATATATCATACTATAATTCATCCAATTAATTCTTCAAGTTCATGCATATACACTTTATATATTTTGGAGGCTGTTCAATTACTTTTGAAATACTACAATTCAATTATTCATGTATATGCATGTATACTAATTAACATTTACTTATGGATATATAAAAGTTAACATTAAGTTATCAAATTCACGTACACATGTTTTGTGAGTTATTCAATTATTTAAGAAGTAAATAACTTATTCAAGTTCATGAACACATATTTATTTTCAAAATTATTCGTTTTATCATAAATTATTCCAACAGTATATAAATTATTAAAGATCATATAATTTGAGAGCTCTTCAATTATTATAGGAGTAAATAAATTATTCAAGTTCGTGTACACTTATTTAATTTCAATATTATTCATTTAATCTATGATATAACGCCATTTGTCTAAATGTATATATTATTCTTTTTCTATATTAATTGATTCAAATTAATTAAATTTCATGTTGATTCATATACATCTCATTTGTTTAAAGGGTCCTGTTATGGGTACCCGGCGTTTTACACGCCGGGTTACCCGACCCCACACTCCCCTCTCACAATGGGGGG